AATGGGGCTGCAGACCTGGTGCTGAGCTGACCGCTGTCCCTCCGAGCCCCTTTGCCCCGCCACCAAGCGCTGGGGCGGTGGGAGGTGACAGCGGGCTTGGCGTTTGCAGGACATGAGCGCCTTGGTGGCGGCGCGGATGAGACACATCCCCCTGGCCCCCGGCTCCGACTGGCGCGACCTGCCCAACATCGAGGTGCGGCTGTCGGACGGCACGACCACACGCAAGCTGCGGTACACGCACCACGAGAAGAAAAACGGCCGCAGCAGCTCAGGAGCACTGCGGGGAGTCTGCTCCTGCGCAGAAGGTAGGAGTCAGCACCCCAGCCCGTGGACTGGGAGATTTCCTGCACCTTGCGTGGTGGGACGGGGTCAAATCCACTTCTAACCCTGCTAATTAGGGTTAGGTAATTCAGCCCAGCACCCCTTACGCCCATTCCTTCCCACGGACATCGTCCTGGTGTCCCCATCCCCACAGGACAAGCTGCTCCCTTCACCATTGATATAAACGCTTGCAAAACCAATTTTCCCTCGTATAAAATAATACCTTCTACTCGCCCCGCTTCAGCTGGTATTTGCTCTTTTAAACCTCCCGAGTGCGAATTTCCCAGCCTGCTCCATGAGCTTCATTCCTTAATTTCATCTGCTGCGGCTGGTGAAGTTATTTCATTTCCACGCTTTCCAGTGCCACAGATGAGGCCGCGTTCCTCAAACGTGGCCGTGTTCCTCAAATGCTTTTTTATTATTGCTGGCATTTACGGAGCTGCCTCTGATGGGAGCCACTCGAGAGGCGATTCACAGCGAGCTGTGATAAAATTTAATCGGGATGGTTGCGCGCGCGGCCCCACAGGGTCAGTCTGGGGAGAGAGCAGTGGATTGATAGCTTTTGCTGCTTTTTTTTTAAAATGTTTGGATAATTGCTCCCCGTCTCCCCCAGGGAAGCCCTGCGACCCCGCGGACCGGCAGTTCAACACCCTCATCCCCTGGTGCCTGCCCCACACCGGCAACCGGCACAACCACTGGGCCGGGCTCTATGGGCGGCTGGAGTGGGATGGCTTCTTCAGCACCACCGTCACCAACCCCGAACCCATGGGCAAGCAGGTGGGTGCCGCCAGATCCGTCCCTCCCAAAACGAAGGGTGTCCCCCCCTCGCTCTTTTTTTTTTCAGCTGCTTCCTTTGTCGCCGCAGGGCCGGGTTCTGCACCCCGAGCAGCACCGGGTAGTGAGCGTGAGGGAGTGCGCCCGCTCCCAGGGCTTCCCCGATACCTACCGGCTCTTCGGGAACATCCTCGACAAGCACAGACAGGTGAAGCGTGGCCGCTCACGCGCAGCCCCGTGGCACCAACGCTGAGCCCACACCAACGTAACCCTACCTCTGTCGCAGGTCGGTAACGCAGTGCCTCCTCCTCTAGCCAAAGCCATCGGGCTGGAGATTAAATCGTGCGTGTTGGCGAAGCTGAGGGAAGACACCGCGGGTAGGTTGTGGGGACAGCGGTCCCTACACCTCGCCGGGAGGGCGCTTGGGACCGGTGGTTCTGCTCCATTAAAGCAAGAGATGGGGGGGGGCTCAGAGGGTCGGGATTGGCGGTTCTGCTCGCTTAAAGCAGGAGATGAGGGAGGTGGAGAATTACTGGGGGCAATAACGGGGGCTCGGGGAGCGCCGCCGCCATCACCCCCCTCCTCTCCCCACAGCGCCCAGCGCCCCGGAGAAGATGGAAACGGTGGAACCGGCTGACTGACGCGCCTCCGGCACCAGGACTCCCAAACATGCACTGATTTATTTTATCCCCTTTTATTTTTGGTTTTGTTTTGATTTTATTTTTTTTGTTTTTTGTTTTTTTTTTTTGGTTTGTTTTTAAAATTCTCGGTCCGTGGGACCTTCCCTGCGGCTGTGCTCGTGCCCACGTCTCTGCCCTCCGCCGCTGTCTGTGATGGTCGAACTCCACTACCGCCCTGGTTCCCCCCCCCCGGTGCAGCCCCCCCCGGCCCCGGCAGGGTGCCCACGGGGCCCCCAGCACCTCCGGCGGGACCCCCCCCAGGTCCCGGCCCTGCCCTGGCCCCCCCCCACCCCCCCCCTCCCATCTCCCGTTTTTACGCCGCAATGTATTGAAAATAATCGGCCGCTTTGTACAAGTGGGAATTGATACTTTATGTAGTTTTTATATGTTGTAATATTTCTTCAAATAAATCTCTCCTATAAATTATAGCCCCCTCCCCCCACGCCTTTCTCAGGCTTCAGGGGGCGCACTAGGCCTCAACCCCCCCCACTGCGGGCTGTTGCTTAGCAACCGCTTCCCGGCATGCACCGCGCGGCCGCCTCCCGGCACCGGAAGTGAGGCCCGGCTGGCCGGAAGTGAAGCGCTTCCCTTCCGGTGGGGACGCGTGAGGGAGGCGGCGGGGCGATGCCGACGGGCGACTACGAGTGAGGGAGCGGGGCCGGGCCCGGGGCGGCGGGAGGGGGCTTCGGGGGGGGTTTGGGGGCTCGGGGAGGCGGAATCGGGGGCCGGGGGAGGGAATTGGGGCCCGTTGGGGTCATTGGAGGGAAGCGGCGGGGAGTCGGGGCCCAGGGACGGAGCCTGGGGGGGGGGGTTTGGGGGCCTCAAAATGGCGGAGGAGGGGAGCGGGGCCGGCGCCTGACGCTGTGCTGTGTCCGCAGCTCGAAGCCCAGCTGGGCGGACCAGGTGGAAGAGGAGGGAGGAGAAGACGGTGAGTGAGCGGGGCGGGGGGGGGGGCGGCTTCCCTGCTCTCCCCCCGCCGCCCCTTTGCTTTTTTTCCTCAAAAAAAAGCTCAAATCCCCCTCAAATCCCCTGCAGGGCTCGGTTTGGGGCTCAAAACCTTCATTTTTAGGAGCGGGCCGTGTGTGAGCCGTGACAGGGAGCAGCGCTCCTCTCACCACCCATATGTCGCCCATTTTAGGGGCGGAGGAAGCCTGATTGTTGCAATTTTAAAGCTTTTCGGCTTTTTTTGTGCCCAGAAGAAAGCAGGGGGCTCCTCTCCTCCTTACTGCGAGAGGCTTTGCTTGTCACGATCCCATAAAACCAGCGTTCAGACCCCACAAAAGCAGCAGGGTGCTTTCCCCCTTTGTTTTCCTCGTTCCAAACCCTGGCAGTGACGATTCTCCGCTTCTCTTCCCGCAGACAAATGCATCACCAGCGAGCTGCTGAAGGACATCCCCCTGACAGGGGTGCTCGGGGGGAGCCTGAGCGCTGAGGCCGAGCTGCTGAAGGGAGGTAAGAGCTGCCTAAAACCCCCAGGGGGGGCTCTTCCCCTGCCTTTAAACCCCCCCGGGCAGCCCAGTCACTGCTCCCCACCCCGCAGGCCCGCTGCCCTCCCCGAAGGAGCTCATCAATGGCAACATCAAAACCATCACGGAGTACCGCGAGGAGGAGGATGGGAGGAAGGTGAAGGTGAGTGTGGGGCCTCTCCCTGCTGTCTCTCTCCCCCTCGTTGCTTTTTGGGGGGCGTTAATTGTCTCTGTTACCCTTCCCCAGATCATCCGCACCTTCCGCATCGAAACCAGGAAGGCCTCCAAGGCGGTGGCACGTCGGAAGGTGAGAGTTTTTTGTGGTGAGGGTACCAGCAGGATGGATTTTTTTCCGTAGAAAGGGAAAAGCAGAAGGCAGCGCTCCAGGAGTTGCTGCTTTTTACCCGGTCTGTGTTCAGCACAGCTTGGGAAGAGAGCGTAAATGAGGAAAACTTCCTAATCTGCTTCGTTTTTCCCCAGAACTGGAAAAAATTTGGCAACTCGGAGTTCGATGCCCCTGGCCCGAACGTGGCCACCACCACCGTGAGCGACGACGTCTTCATGACGTTCATCACGAGCAAGGAGGTGAGGCTGGGGGACGAGGGGGGGACATCACTGGAGAGCCCTAAAACAAGCCTAAAAGGTGCTGAGCCCTCTCCTTGCGCCCAGGACCTCAACTGCCAAGAGGAGGAGGACCCGATGAACAAGCTGAAGGGCCAGAAGATCGTCTCGTGCCGCATCTGCAAGGGCGACCACTGGACCACGCGCTGCCCCTACAAGGACACGCTGGGCCCCATGCAGAAGGAGCTGGCCGAGCAGCTGGGGCTGTCCACAGGCGAGAAGGAGAAGCTGCCCGGAGGTACAACACCCCAAATCCTTCCTCTGGGGGCTCTCCCCTGCCCGAATTTTGGGGCTGTTGGGGTTTTATTAGGCCTCCTGTTGTTTTTTTTTGCCCGCAGAGCCGGAGCCGGTGCAGGCTCAGCAGAGCAAGACGGGCAAGTACGTCCCGCCCAGCCTGAGGGACGGCGCCAGCCGCCGTGGGGAGTCCATGCAGCCCAACCGCAGGGGTAAGGCTCGGCCTCTGCGGCCTCCTGTCCCCCCCCCAAATGTCCCGTGTCCCCCCCTGAGCCTCCCCTGTCCCCCCAGCCGACGACAACGCCACCATCCGTGTCACCAACCTGTCCGAGGACACGCGTGAGACCGACCTGCAGGAGCTCTTCCGCCCCTTCGGCTCCATCTCCAGGATCTACCTGGCCAAGGACAAGGCCACGGGGCAGTCCAAGGTGGGGTCAGGAGGGATTTTGGGGGGGCAACACCCCCTCTGTTCTTCCTCCACACACCCCCCTTCCTCCTCCTCACTCCTCTCCCTCCTTTTTTTCCCCAGGGTTTTGCCTTCATCAGCTTCCACCGCCGCGAGGACGCGGCCCGTGCCATCGCTGGGGTGTCTGGTTTCGGCTATGACCACCTGATCCTCAACGTGGAATGGGCCAAGTGAGTACAGGAGGGTGCTGAGGGGCACCCAAGGGTGCTGGGGGGGCACCTAGGGGTGCTGGGGGCTTGCGTCTGGCTGCTCCCATCCTCACCCCATCATTTTTTTTTCCTCCACAGACCCTCCACCAACTGACCCCGCTGCCTCCCCTCTGCGCAGCTGGCCCCTCTAAATAAAAATACTTCAGCACTACACCGCCGCGTCCTCTCTTCCTAAGCTTTTTAGCCTAAAAAAACAAGCAATTTCACCCCAAAACTCGCACCACGATGCAACGCTGACGATTTAACCTTTACTCCCCCACCTCTCCGGGTGGAAAACGTTCACCCGGGGGCCTCGTGGCGCCCTGCGGCGGGGCCGTGCCCCCGTTCCGTGCTCCCGCCGCGCTCCGGGGCTGCATCTCCAGGCTCTCCCCCTGCTCCTTGCAGCAGCAGCGGAAGCTGTCGGCCAGCGCGGCGTAGAGCAGCGGGTGCAGGCAGATGTTGAAGTTAACGAGGATTTTGCCGAGCTGGGCGGCGGCGTGGACGGCACGTGAGACGCCGCAATCCTCCAGAGCCGGCCTCAGGTGGCGCCTCCACAGGTTGAGGTTGCGGAAGACGTGGTAGGGCAGGTAGGAAAAGGCGTAAAGAGCCACGCTGGCCCCCACCAGCACCCCGATCCTGCGTTTTTCCAGCGGGCTGAGGTGAGGGTTGCGAAAAACCACGCGGGCCACGGCGCCGTAGCAGAAGGCGGTGAGCAGGAAGGGCAGCGCGCAGCCCAGCGCCGCCAGCAGCAGGCTGTAGGGGATGAAACGGGGCAGGCGCTCCCGCGCCGCGCTCCCCAAACACTCCACCGTCCCCTCCTCCTCCTGCAGCTCCGAAAAAAACAACGTGGGGGCCGAAAGCCCCGCGGCCAGCACCCAGACGGCCGCGCTCAGCGCCTGGGCGTGCCGGGAACGCAGCCGCCCGTGGAGCCGCAGCGGGTAAACGATGCCCAGGTAGCGGTTGAGGCTGATGCAGGCGACGAAAAAGGTGCTGCCGTAGAGGTTGCAGTTGAAGAGGAAACGTTCGAGCTTGCAGAGCGTCGCGCCGTAGCTCCAGTGTTTGGGAGGCCGGTAATAAACTGCCAAGGCGGGCAGAGAGAGCGAGTAGAGGGCGCCGCTGACGGAGAGGTGGAAGGAATAAACCACGGGTGCTGGCCACGGGCGCTCACGGGCCAGGCGGAACACGGCCAAGGCGTTGCCCAGTAGGGCCAGGGGGAATTGGGCGGCCAGCACCGGCCACAGCGCCTCCTGCGAGCGGCTGAAGTTGGAGCAGGGGCTGCCCGAGGTGGCGTTGGCCATCCCGGGGGTGGTTTTAGGGTCGCTGACGCGGTGTGGGGTGGTTGGAGGCAGATTGGGGAGGATTAGCGAGCCCCTTTGGGGTTTTCCGGCGGCAGGATGCGTCCCCCTGTCCCGCTGAGCACCCCAAGGACTGAGTAGGGGGCTGTGCTTTGTCCCCCGCAGCCCCAAAACTCGTCCCACTCACCCCGTTGTGGCTCTGCACCCTCTCCCAGTCCTCACCGTCCCCTCCGAGGTGGCAGATGCGCTCTTCCTCACGCTGTCCCCGGTGCCCTCCGTGCTCTTCTTCCTCCCAGCACCCCACCCCGTGCACCGAGCCTCAGGAAACGCGGCGGGGACGGGCGCTTCCCCTTCTCGAGCCACCTCAAAACCGCAGCCGTGACGGCCCTGTCCCCTTCCCGCTGCCACAGGCGGGCAGCTCCAGCTCTGCCCAATTAAATCACGCCCCACCTTAATTAAATTAAGCTGACCCTGCGTTTTCGCTCCCCCCCCCAGGGCCAGCACAGCACCACGTGCTCGTTCCAAGCGTGTATTGAGCAGGAGCAGGGCCCCCCCCCAGTGCCCACTTCCTTCTCCCCCCACAGTCTCCACGCGTGGCAGGCGGCTGCAGCCTCAGCGCTTCCCCTTCTTGCCGTGCCCGGGCCGCCTGAAAATGATTTTTCCCCTGGCCAGCAGCTTCCCTCGCCTCTTGGGGCCGTGCTTCTGTCCCTCCCGGGCCGGCCGCTCGCTTCCTCGTCCCGCTTTTCGCCCGGCTGCTCCTTGGGGCTTGGAGTCCGTCCGCGCTGGGCCCTTTTTTTGTGCCACCGGACGAGATTTTGGGGCTCCAGGCTGCTCCTGCTGGCTGCGCCGCCGGCGTTTCCGCGGCACGGCAGAGCCCGAGGGGCCTCGCGGCCTCTTGGCGCGGTTGGGAAAGAGATCTGGGCGGGCGGATGCCAAAAATAAAAACACAAAAAGGGGAAGTTTAGCGGGGCAGAGGGGTTGGCCGCGCGGCGTTGGCACCGGGGGAGGTGTCAGCGCGTTTACTTCAACCGAGATCACGGCAAGCTCAGGGTTTTTCGCTTCATCAGCCACGCAGGGAGGAAAAAAAGAGAGGCTGAGCCTCGGCCCCTTGTGGACTCACCTTCGTCGGGCTCCTGGCCCAGCTCCTGCCGATAATATTCGGCGTCGCTCTCGTCCGACTGCCCGGCCGGATCCTGCTGCTCCGGCGCCCCGGGGTCCTCGGCGTCGCTGTCGCCGTCCTGCTGCCGTTTCCTCCGGATCCCCGCCAGGCTCTTCTCCCTGCCAAAACGGTGTCGGTGCCCACCCAGCCTCCGGTCCCGCTGTTTCCTTCTCTTCTCCTCCCTTCCTTGCCCTCCCGCCTCACCGGTGAGCCTCCCGCTGCTGCCTCTTGCGCTCCACGGCCGCCTCCTGCTGCTGCCGCCGCTCCGTCTTCAGCTTCAGCTTCGCCTCCTTCCTCGCCAGGATCTCCTGCACCTCCTCCTCCGTTTTGTGAACTGCCGGGGAGAAAACCGAGCTCCAGGCACCGACCTCAGCCCCCGAACAGCGGAGGCTCAGCAGGGAGAAGCCCGGCGCCACTCACTGAAGCTGTGGAAGAGCACGTTGCCCTGCGCCAAGCCCTCCTCCACCTTCACGAGCTGCAGCGTCATGCGGGGCCCGATCTAGGCGAGGCGGGAGCAGAAAATCAGCTCAGCCCCGAGCTCCCCGGGACGATCGTAGCCTCGTCGGGAGGCCGGAATCCTCCCCACGCACCTCGGTGAGGCGCACGGCGCTCTGCTGAGCCTTCATATTCCCCCGGCCGGCGTAGGCTTGAGGCAGCTCCAGGATGTTGTGGGTCCCGTCCTGCTCGGCCTCGCTCTCCGACAGGTTGATGTCTCTGCCCGGGAGGAAGAGGAGCGTTGGGGCTGGGAGGAAGGCGCCTCCGAGCCCTTCTGGCCCCGCACGCACTTCACCAGCAGCTCGCTGATGTCCTCCAAGCGGCTCATGTTGGGGAATTTCTCCTGCAGCAGCTTCTTCAGGCCCTTGCTCACGCCCACGGGCACCACCTTCACGCTGCTGCGGGGCGAGGAAGAGGAGGAGGAGGTGAGCGAGGGAGAAAAGGGGGGAAAAAAGGATTTCCAGGCACACAGCACCGTGCTTACTAGTGTCGGAAATCCAGGAGCTGCGTCTCGGCGTCGTAGCTGATGAGCAAACACCTCTTGATGTTGTTGAGGTTGACCTGCAGGGAAAAGGAGGAGTTAGGAGGAGAAACGAGCCCCACGGAGGGGGGGGGTTCCCGGAGTTGGACCCCCCTCACCTTGTGGACGTTGATGGAGGGAAACATGTTCTGGAACATGCTGGCCATCAGCTTGACGTGGATCTGCTGGAGGCCGAAGTTGCTGAGCACCAGGAGCGGGTGCTGGGTGAATTGCTGCTCGTGCATGCGGTGCCGTTTGAGGGACGAGACCACGTCCTTGATCAGCGAGTACTGGGGGGGCAACGGGGGGGGCGGCGGCGGTGAGGAGCTGCTCCACGACCCAACGGGGCCGGGAGCAGCGCACGGGGACACCCACCTGCATCACTTTGAACGTCAACGTCGGGCCCCCGGGCAGCCGAAACAGCTTCTGCGGGGAAAAAGGGAACAATTAGAACAATTAGCAGGGGGGGAGGCGACTTTCGACCCCCCCGGAGCGAGTGCCGCAGCCGCATCAGTGCGTTTACTTTGCACAAAATCAGTGCCGAGGCTCAGCAGGAGTTTGTCATCAGCTGCAGCTGCCAGCGGAGGGATGAAATCCCCCCAAAATCGTCCCCTCCCACCCCAAAAAAAAGACCCGCAGCCACTCACGAAGTTGATGCTGGAGGTCGATTTGCTGAAGACCAAAAAATGCGTCACCCCCAGCGGCCCGGCCACGGCCACGAAATCCTTCATCGAGTTTTTTTTCCGCACCTGCAGCGGGGAAAAGGGGCAAAACCCTGAAATCCTCCCCCGGGAGGCTCCCGGTAAGCCCGGTAACCGGTGGCAGGATCCGTCCCCATGCTCACCTTGAGGGCCCGGGCTGTGTAAGGCTCCATCACCTTGCGCACGTCCAGGATGAGCTGGCGCACGTTTTTGCCCACGCGGCCGCGGTGGAAGACGAAGGAGTGGGGGACGGTGCCGAAATCCTGCTGCGCCTGCTGCACCGCCGCCGCCCGCTCCTTCTTCTGGTTCTTGGTCTGTGGGGGCAACTGGTCAGGACTGGGAAGGGGCAGGAAAGGGGGGTGCAGCCCTCCCCCGGGACCCCCAATCCTTGCTGTGCCCCCTCCCCGGGATGGATGGAGCCCCGGTTCTGGGGGTGCTGTGCTCCGGGGGGTGCCTGGTTCTGGGTTCCCCGTTCTCTAAGGCGTGGCCTTGCCCCTTCCCCATTTCATGAAGCCCGTTCCTGGCCCGTTCCCTGAAGTTCTGGTCCCGGTTCCTGCCCCGGTTCCCTGCTCCTGGCCCCCTCCCGTTCCCCCGGCCCCTTCCCCATTCCCTGAAGCCCAGGTCCCGGTCCCTTCCCTTACCCCATGGCCCCCCAGGACCCCTTCCCTTCCCCCCTTCAGCCCATTTCGGGTCCCTCCAACCCATTCCAGCCCCTCCCCGCTCCCTGAAGCTGCCTCCCGGCCCTTTTTTCCGTTCCCCGAGGCCCCTTCCCCGCTTTCCCCAGCCCCCGAGGCCGGCTCCCGGTTCCCTCCCCGCTTCCCCGAGGCCCGGTCCCTTCCACACTCCTGCTCCCAGCCCCTCCCCGCTCCCCCAGACCCATTCCCGGCCCCCTCCCCGCTTCCCCACCCACCCCGACCCCCCCGTCCCCAGCCCCCCAGGCCCAGCCCCTCCCCGAGGCCTGGTCCCGGTCCCGGTCCCCCGAGCCCCTTCCCCGCCCCCCCCCCCGGGCCCCGTGACTCCCAAATCCCGTTCCCGGTCCTTTCCCGACCCCCTCTCCGGTTCCGTGCTCCCCGTCCCGTTCCCGTTCCCCCCCCCCCGGACCTTGCTGGGCCTCCCCATCTCCCCGCCGCCCTCCGCCACCATGCGGCCGCCGCCACTTCCGGTGCCCACCCCAACCGCGTTCCCCCGTTGCGTCACTTCCGGCCGGTCCCCCGGTCCGACGCGCCCCCGAGCCCGCGCTTCGCGTTCCGCCCCCCTGTTGCCATGGTTACGCGCCCCCCCCACCCCCCAAAAATCCCCCTCGGAGGCCTTCGAGGCCCGGGGGTACCGGGGGGGGGTTCTCAGCCGGTCCCCGGCCCGGCCCCGAGCCCCCCCCCCGTGTTGCTGCCAGCACAGAGCTCAGTGCAGTGGGGGGCGAAGTCACAGCTTTAATGGAGCCCCCCCGGGGGTCCCCAAAACCCCTCGGGGATCCACAACGTCCTCAGAGCCCCCCTGGGGGCTCCCCAATACCCCCAGAGCCAACAACATCCTCAGCCCCCCCTCCTCAGAGCCACCTGAAGCCCCCCAGGGCTCCCCAACATCCTCAGCGCTCCCCCTCAGTGCTCCCCAAAGCCCCCCCAGGGCTCCCCAATACCCTCAGAACCCCCCCAGACCTTCCCCTGACACTACTCCAAACACCCCAAAACCCCCAAAGCCCCCCCAGGGCTCCCCAACACCCCCAGAGCCCCCCTAGGGCTCCACAACATCCTCAGAGACCCCTCAGGACTCCACAACATCCCCCAAGTCCCCCCAGGCCTCCCCCAGTACCCCCAGAGCCCCTCCCCCACATCCTCAGAGCCCCCCCAGGGGTCCCCAACACCCCCAGACACCCCCCAGAGCTCCCCAACCCCCTCAGAAGCCCCTCAGAACTCCCCAAAACCCCTCCAGAGCCCCTTCAGTGCCCCCCAAGCCCCCCCTCAAGCTCCCTCAGGCCTCCCCTTGGCACTACCCCAAACACCCAACAACCCCGGACCCCCCCAGGGCTCCCCACCACACACCCCCATGCCTCCTCAGGGTTCCCCAACACCCCTAAAAACCCCCAAAGCTTCCCCCCCAAAAAAACAGAGACCCCCCTGGGGTTGCCCTAGGGCTCCCTGAACCTAAAGCCCCTCAGAGCTGCCCCCCAAACACCCTAAAACCCACAGAAATGCCCCAATACACCCTAATACCTCCAGAATCCCCCCTGCCAAGCCCCGTAACCCTTTGAACCCCCCCAAAAAAACCTCCCCACACCGATCCCCAAGCCCCCTCCCCACCTCCTCGCTGCCCCCCGAGCCTCCCCGACCTCCTCCCCACACCTCAGAGGCCTGAGCCCCGTGGGACCCCCAACCCTCTCCCATATGTTCACCCCAATTCCTGCAACCGGGGCACTCAGGGCAGCTCCCCCACCACCTCTCCAACCCCAATCCCAACAAAGGGGGGTCACCGTCGGTCCGAAGACCCCCCCCTTTTTTCCCCGCCGCCCTCAGAGCGGGGCGATCCGGCGACGGAAGCAGCCGCAGGTGAGGCACCGCAGCACGGCCATGCTGAGGTGGAAGAGGGTCCCGTAATGGAAGAGGAGGCGGTAGTAGGTGCCCACCGACAGGTCCCCTGTGGGGTCGGCGTATTTGAGGGCCACCAGCGGCGTGTAGAGCCCGTTGGTCTGCGTGCGGAACGCCGGCCGCCGCGCCCCGATGACGTTCGCCATGGCCTGGGGACGGACGGAGCCGCCTGAGCCTCGAGATGGCGGCGGCGGCGGCGGGGGTCTCCCCAAAGGCATGGCCCTAAATCCTGTCCCCCCCTCTTCCCCACCCCCTTTCTCCTCGCACCTCGGCCACGGCCGCCGGGCTCTGCCCCAACGTGGTGAAGATTTCGTGGGAGGCCGGCAGGTAGACGTCCTTGAAGTAATGCACCGTGGCCTCGTCGGCGCCGGGGAATTCGGAGCGCGCCACCTCCTCCATCAGCTTCAGCTCGAAGTCCGTGTTGACAGGGGCCCGGCTCCACCATGGAGACGCTGCGGGGTTTGGGGAGCTCAGGGGGGGCTCTGCTGGGGTCCCCCCAATCCTATTCTATCCCCCCCGAGGTCTCACAAGACGTTGAACTGCAGCAGCTGCACGGCCAGGCTCTCGCAAAACCCCTCCACGGCGAATTTGGAGGCGGCGTAGACATCATTGAAGACAATCCCTGAAGGAAAAGAGGGGCTTGGGGTGGGCGAACCCCCCCAAAAAACCACCATTGTCGTCATCGTCCCTCAATTTGGGGCCTCACCCTGCAGCCCCATGACGCTGCTGACCACCACGATGTGGCCGCTCCGGCGCCGCTTCATCTCGGGCAGGACGGCCTTGATCATCCTCACCGCCCCGAAAAAATTGGTGTCGAAAACGCGCTTCATCTCCTCCACGCTGATGCTCTCCACGGGGCCCACGTGCCCCACGCCGGCGTTGTTCACTGCGGGGGCACCCGAGGGGGCTCAGAACCCCAATCCCGGCCCCCATTTCCCCGTTCACACCCCCCCGAACCCCGTTTTGCTCACCCAACACGTCCACCCGGCCCCCGGGGATGCTGCTCAAGCACTCGGCCACCGAGCTGTCGCTGCAGACATCGAGGCGTTGGATGCTCAGCGTCGTGCCCAGCGCCGGCCCCGCCGCCTCCTCCAGCTTCCCCTTCTTGCTCAGGTCCCGCATGGTGGCGATGACTGCGGGGAGCCCCGTTGTAGGGCCGAGGGTTGGAGAGCAAAACCCTGGCGGCCTTTTTCCCCTAAGCTGCTTTGGTAACACGGCCTCTAAATCCTTCTCCCGGAGGCTAATCCCCGCTGTAGGGTCGGCCACGGGGTGCACGAGGAGAGGGGACGCGGCGAGAAGGGGGCATGGGGTCGAGGATAGGGTGCGGGGACCCCATGTGGGTCTGATCGGGTGCTGCAAACACTGGCCCCGAATGTGTGGTGTGTGCTGCAGGTAGCCGTCCCCAACCCCATCCCCGTCCCCGTACCCCATGTCCTCGTGTCCCCAAGCACACGGGGGACACCTGGGTGAAAGCGGGTGTGAGGCCCCAAAATTTTTTGGGGCGCTGCGAGGAGGAAGAAACCCCAAGAGTGCCCTCATTGGGGTGAACACAGCAAAGAGGGACCCCAAGCCCTTCACCCTCCCGACCCCAAAAGGATTTCTAGGGCCGAGGGTCCCCCTCCTCACCCTGGAAGCGGCGCTGGGGGTCCTGGGCCAGCCTCACGGCCACGGCCAGGCCGATGCCGGAGGAGCAGCCGGTGACGAGGACGGTGCGGGGCGCGGGGCCGGCCATGGCTGCGCTGGCCTCGAGTCCAAAGGCTCTTATGGGATCAGGACCCGGCGTCACGTGGCGGCGGGATCAGCCTCCCCGAGCCCATAGCGGGGTCCCACCGCCCCCACCCCCCATCCTTTGCCCATAACCCCCCAAAAAAACAAATAAAAACCCCAAATGGGGGCACGCGGCGCTGCGGCCCTATAGTGAGGGGGACCCCACATGCCCCCCTGGGGTGGTTTAGGGGCGCTGCCACAAGGTCCCCATGGGATTGGGGAGGGGGCTGCGGTGCCGTATGGGGTCGGGGGGCTCGGCTCAAAGGCTGGGGGGCGTCCGGGGGGGGAGCCCAGTTACTGCAGAGACCGTGGTAAATATTTGCCAGGAAATGGGAAAATGGGGTCAGCGGGGCCGTGACTCAGGCGATGAGGCAATGGGGTGGCTGCAGCCAGCCGGGCCCCGGGGGCCAGCACGGGCGAGAGGCAGCTGTGGTGTGGGGCTGGGCGCCCCCAAATCCCCCCCCCCTTTAACTCCCCAGGCTTTGCTGTGGGGTTAAAGCACCATAGGGGGGGGCTGTGCACCCCAAAACCTCGCTGTGGGGCTGGCAGTGGGGTTGGGGGGTGCGCGTTCCCGATCCTGCCGTCCTCACTGGGGGGGCTGGAAGTGAGGGGGGGTCTTGCAGCCCTAAATTTGGCTGTTTTGGGGGGGGGTGCAGCCCCAAACCTGGCTGGGGGGGTGTCTTGCACCCCCAAACCTCCCCATTTGGGGTTTTGTGTGCCCCCAAACCTGCTTGTGGGGCTGGGAGTGGGGTGGGGGACAAGTGCCTCTAAACCTACCTGGGGGGGGGTCCTGCACCCCCAAATCTGCCCCGGGGGGGGCAGTGCACCCCCAAAGCTGCTCTTTTGTGGGTTTTTTTTGAACCCCTAAACCTGCCCATGGGGTCAGAGTAGGATGGGGGGCTCAGCACCCCCAAACCTGGCAGGGAGGGAAGGGGTGCACCCCTAAACCTGCCTGTGTGGGGGGGGATCTTGTACCCCCAAATATGCCCATGGGGGGGTCCTGCACCCCCAAATCTGCCCGGGAGGGGGCAGTGCACCCCCAAACCTCCCCATGGGGGGGCACTTTTGCACCTCCAAACCTCCTCATTTGGGGTTTTGTGTGCTCCCAAACTTGCTTGTGGGGCTGGGAGCGGGGTGGGGGCCATACTCTTCTAAACCTACCTGGGGGGGGTCTTGTACCCCCAAATCTGCCCCGGGGGGGCAGTGCACCCCCAAACCTCCCCATGGGGGGGCACTTCTGCACCCCAAAGCCTCCTCATTTGGGGTTTTGTGTGTCCCCAAACCTGCTTGTGGGGCTGGGAGTGGGGTGGGGGACAAGTGCCTCTAAACCTACCTGGGGGGGGTCTTGTACCCTCAAATCTGCCCCCGGGGGGGGCAGTGCACCCCCAAACCTCCCCATGGGGGGGCAGTTTTGCACCCCAAAACCTCCTAATTTGGGGTTTTGCATGCCCCCAAACTTGCCTGTGGGGCTGGGAGAGGGGTGGGAGCCGTGCTCCTCTAAACCTATGTGTGTGGGGGGGTCTTGTACCCCCAAATCTGCCCCGGGGGGGGGCATTGCACCCCCAAACCTCCCCATGGGGGGGCAGTTTTGCACCCCCAAACCTCTTCATTTGGGCTTTTGCGTGCCCGTGGGGGTCCCTCCCCCCCAGCCCCTCTTTTTGGGGGCCGTGCTCCCGAACCGGGGGGGGGGTTAAATTAACCGGGAGGGGGGGGCTCCGCCCGGGGGCTGGGCCGGGCTGGAGGCGGGGGCTCTGGGCGGGCCGGGGCTCCCCCCCCCCCCGCCCCCCCGCCCCGCTGGGCTCGGCACGGCGGCGGCAGGGCCGAGCTGTGCGCTCCGGTACCGGGGGCATGGAGCCCCCCCCGCGCCCCGCCGCCCTCCTCGCCCTCCTCGCCCTGCTGCCAGCGGCCACCGCAGGTACCGCACGGGGCGGGGGGGGCCGGGGGGGGGGCATTTAGGGTGGGTTCCCCTCGCCCACGCGTGTCCCGTGCTGCGCACCCCGCTGCCGTGGGCACGCGTGGGGGTCCCCTCTTGGGGTCTGGGGGGGGCCCGGTGCCTTCAGCACCACGGACAGGGGTGGGGAGGGGGGGAGGTGCCCCCCCCCCCGGGTTGGGGGGGGGCATGCACCCATTTTTGGGGGGCACCCGCCCGGAGGTGGCTGCGGGGGTCCCCCTGGGCTGGGAGAGGGAGCGGTGAGTGTGGGGGGGTCACCGCGTGGGGGTCGTGCCCCCAGGGTTAAGGGTGCCCCCCCCACCCAATTAAGGGGTGCCCCCCACCCTGGTTAAGGGCCCCCCCGTGCAGCCCAAGGGCTCGGTGTCCCCAGAGGCACCCGTGTCCCCTCCACGGTGCAGGTGGGACACGAAGCCGGGTCACTTGGGGGGGGGCTGTCGGGGTGGGGGGGGGGCATTTTGGTGCCAATAACGGGGGATTCACCTTCAGCATTCCCACGCCCCCACCCCAAAACACCCAGGCCAGGCATTTTTGGGGCCGAGCCGGCACAGCCGCTGCGGGGCCACCCACGATTGCTGTGCCGGGAAAAGTGGGGGTGGTGGTGGTGGTGTTTGGGGGGGGGTCCTGGCTTGCTGTGGGGGGGTCCCGGCACGCCACGAGCCCTCCCCGGGGAGCATGGGCAGGAAACCAGCCCCATGTGCCGGGGTCAGGAGGGCCTGAGATTCGGCACGGCCGCTGCGGGGTCAGCCCGTTCCCAGCCCCGGCCGTGTCCCCGCTGTCATTTAGGGTGCCCCAAATGGGGGGGGGGCACACAGCGTGGGGAGCCCCAGGAGGAATTATCCCCCCCCCCACAACCTCCTGCACCCGGTTACCCCTCCCCAGCTTGCCCGGACAGGCTCCTCCGTGCATCTGCCGCCCCGGGGCGGGGGGCCCGGTGCTGTCTGATGTGGCTGCATTCACCCCCCCACCCCAAATCCTATATCCCCCCCCCTCCCCACACACCTGGCGGTGCCGGGATTAACCCTCAGCACACCCAAACCCTGTGGGATCCCCGAATTGCCCAGCCAAACGGGGCGCTCACGGGGAGCGCGTGTGCGTGTGGGGGGTGTGGGGGGGTAAAAGGGTAAAAGGGGGGGGTCTCCCGCCCCTTTTGGGGTTCTCCCGTGCTGTGGGGGCGGAGGAATGCGCCGGAGGAATCTGGCGGCCGCGGACCGGACCTTGGGCCCACACAGCTGCCTGGCACCGGCCCCGTTTTGGCAAGACGCAGGCAGGGGGATGGGGACGCGGGGCTAAAATCACCGCCGAGGGTGATTCGGGGCTTTTCGGGGGGGGTCCTTAATAACCCTCTGGGGTGGGGGGGGGGTCTCTTCTCGCCCCACAGCCGTGCCCGTGGACGTGCTGCAGACTCTGGGCATGAAGGACGGCCGGGACGGCGTCACCGTCACCGCCGGGATCTGCACCCAGCGCCCCGGCACCGAGGACCCCGATTTGGCTTTCCGCGTGGATAACCGCACGCAGCTCAGCGCGCCCACCCGGCAGCTCTTCCCCGGTACCCCCCCCCCAACCCTTTTTCTTTTTGGGGCGAGCATCCCTAGGGCTCGGGTTGAACGCCCCCTCCGGTTGCAGATTCCTCCTTCCCCGTGGATTTCTCCATCCTGGCCACGGTGCGTGCCCGGCGCGGGGGCCAAGCTTTCCTCCTCTCCATTTACGACGAGCGATGGGGTGCAGCAGCTGGGGCTGGAGCTCGGGCGCTCGCCCGTTTTCCTCTACGAGGACCAGGATGGGCACCCTCCCCCCGAGCTCTACCCCGTTTTCCGCAAGGTGAACCTGGCCGACGGCAGGTGAGTGTCAGAGCCACAGGAGGCCGGATTCTGCCTTTTTTCTCCCCAAACCAGCCCCGTCTCCGCAGGTGGCACCGCGTGGCGCTGGCTGTGGAGGGCACCAACGTGTCCCTGCTGGTGGACTGCCACCTCCTCGCCACGCTGCCGCTGGAGCGAGGACCCCGGCCCGTCGTCAGCACCGAGGGGGTGACGCTTTTCGGGGCGCGCCTGCTGGATGAGGAGGTGTTCGAGGTGAGGTCCCCCCCCCCAACCCCAAAAATCCCCTGTGCCGTCGTCCCGGCTGTCACAAGAAAATTGGGGGACCTGCGAGCTGCTGCTCCCTGTCCCCATTCCCCTCCTCGCATTCCCGCCTGCTGCAAATGTCAGGGGCCATGGGCAAAGAGGACGCTTTGAGGCAGCGAGGCGACTGGAGCTGGTGTCCCCCCCCCGCTTATTTTTCCCCCCAGGGAGCACACAAGGCTGCCTTTGTCCGCTCGCCCCCCCCCGTGCCCGCAGCCAGGGCCAAGGGGGTGTCCGTGCTGGCTGTCCTGAGCTGTGCAGGGACAGGGCACGCATCCGGGGCGTCTTGGGAGGGGGAATTACAAAAAAAAAAAAAAAAAAGAACAATCCCCCCCCCCCGATGCCACCCCCCTTCACCCTCTCCTTCGCCGCAGGGTGACATCCAGCAGCTGCTGATCGTGCCGGACCCCGCGGCCGCCCACTCCTACTGCCAGCTCTACATGCCAGCCTGCGACCAGCCCCTGCTCTACCCGCTCCTCGCCCCCTTCCCGGAGGAGGTGGGCACCCGACCGAGCTCGGGGGGGGACCCTCGGGAGCTCCCCTCCTGCCGACACCCCCCGATGCCCACGTTTTTCTCTGCGCAGAGCGGCCCGGAGCCCAGCGCCGCCCCGCGTCGGAAGGGCAAGAAGGGCAAGGGGAAAGGCAAGCGCAAGGGCAAGGGCAAGAAGAGGAGGAACAAGGAGCTGCAGGAGCAGCACGAAGCCCCCGAGCCCCCCCCCGAGACCAGCCAGGTAGTGAGGGTGAGCAGCCGAACCCCAAATTTGGTTTAAATACGGAGCAGTGTGCGTGGCCCCATGGCCCGAGGGACCCGGCTGCGTATCCGAGCTGGCAGTGCCTTGGCACGGTGCTGGTGCCGTGCTGCACGCAGCCCTTTGCCTCCAGAGCTGCTTCCCAGCCTCGTTTTTGTGAAATTTGGGGCAAAACGGGCCGGATCCGGCAACGCTGGCCCCGGCAGAGCCAGACCTTTGGGTCTGTTGGACGTGATGTTGGCAGGGCGCTGGCCGTGCCGGCTCCTCCCGACGCCGGTCCCGATTGCACCTGGGGCTGAGCCGTCCCCACGGCTCCTGGCCTCGTCCCAGGACCCGCTGGGGGTCCCCTGGGGGCAGCCCCCTCTTCGCCTTCGTCCTCCCTTGGCTCTGGAAGTCAGGGCTGCAGCTGGAGGCCGGAGGCTGGCCAAGGGCCGTGGTCCCTCCTGCCGATGACTCAGCCTTGGCCGGGGGGGGAGAGCCCCGGCGAGGGGTGGCCGAGCTCCAGGTGCTGCTCGGAGCCAGGGGCTGCACGGCCCCGACGTGCAAGGGAACGGCAGCCCTGGGCTGCCCAGCCCTGCCTCGCTTTTCCCCTGGCTCAAAAAACCCAAACCCAAGAGACCAAAGCCTCCGGTGTCCCGAAGCTGGGCTGCGGCTTTGGGGACACCCCAAAATCACCGCGGGACCCCGTGAGGGTCGCGGGCCAGCGCCTCCCTTTGCTGTAGTGCTGAGATCCTCACCCCGTGCCCTTTTTACGCATCACCCAAGGGCAGCACAGCCACCCCGACGCCGCCATCCCCGGAGGACAGCTCCTCGCCACCGGTCCCCTCCAGCCTGGCCACCACCGTGAGCGTCGCCCTGAACCTCACCGAGCCCTTCGAGGTACCGCCAGGGCTGGGAACAGCAGCGGGGCAGGGGATCCCCAAAATCTGCACATCCCCAGCATCAAACCCTGTCCCTCAGGACGCTGGCGAGGAGCTCGTGCTGGAATTTGGGGAGGACGGAGCCGCTGGGGCTGCCAGCGGGGAGCCACCGGGCTACGAGGACTACTCCGACGGGGACCCCGCGAGCCCGGAGCGCTTCGGCCCCGCCGAGCGGGAGGAGACGGTGATCCGGGCTCCCCAGGTAACGCTGGGGACGAGGACCGGGACCCCCTTCAGGCACGGCCGGACGAGCTGGGGCCACGGTATGGGGTCCGGGGGTCCCGTGGGGGCGGTTCGGAGCTCAGCCCCGAGCTCGCGGCCGCGTTCCCTGACCCCGGTGCCACCGCGCTGCGTCCTGCAGGAACCCAGCCTGAAAGGGGACAAGGGCGAGCCGGCCGTCGTGGAACCGGTGAGCAAGGGGGGGGCACGGCCCCCCCAGGGACACTTGGAGCCCTTCTGTGGGTCACCTGGGGGTGGTGGCTTGCAGGACGGGGCGCGGGGACGCGCTGTGCCCACTCCTTTCTCTTTTAGGGTCGGCGATTTGAGGGGCCGCCGGGACCCCCGGGCCCTGCGGTAAGGAGCAGGGGGGGGTGCTGCTGCAGCGGGGGGGGGCTTGCAGAAGCCCAAGCATTAACGATCCTCCGTGTCCTCCGCAGGGGGAAACAGGGACCCTTGGGACCACCGGGGCTCCCAGGGCTGCCCGGAGACCCCGGAGAGCAGGTATGGAGCAGACTGGGGAGGGGGGAGCTGCCCCGCAATGGGGCCGGCTGTGGGGCCGCAGGCGTTTCGGCTGCGTGCCGGGGCGTGCGGGGTGATGGAGCTGCAGGCCCTGACCTGACAGCTCGGCTTCTGCTGGCGTGACAGTGATGAGCACCCCCCCTTTCCCCCCCCCCCCCAAAAAAAAAAAAAGGGCCCCGCGGGACGGCCGGGGCTGCCAGGAGCCGATGGGATCCGCTGGCCCCGCCGGGACCATGATCATGCTGCCGGTAGGGGACTGGGACGTGGGGCTGGGGGGGGGCAGCTGGCCTCACCCCCCCCTGCCCTCACCCCGCTCCTCTCCCAGTTCCAGTTTGGGGGAGACTCCCTCAAGGGCCCCACCGTCTCCTTCCAAGAAGCCCAAGCCCAGGCGATCCTGCAGCAGGCGAAGGTCAGGACCCCCGCGCCCACCCCCACGGCTCAGCCTCCCCCCCCCTCCCGCCTCACCCCTCTCCTCCTTTCCCTCCCCAGCTTGCCATGAAGGGCCCCCCCGGCCCCATGGGGCTCACCGGCCGCCCGGGTCCTCTGGTGAGTGCTGCTTGGCGTGGGGGGCTGCTGCGGGACCCCCTTGGGGTGCCCACCTCGCACCGGGGTCGTCGGGCACCCCAGCAGACCCCCCGTGGCGGGGGCTCCACGCTCTCCGTTTTTTTTTAGGGTCTACCAGGACACCCGGGCCTGAAAGGGGACGCAGGGGACATGGGGCCGCGGGTGAGTCTCGTAAGGATTGGGGGGTGGGGGCCGTTGGAAGCCTTCCTCTCCTCTCACCCCTCTTCTTCTTCTCCATCAGGGTCCCCGGGGACTGCAGGGACCCCCGGGACCACCGGGGAAGCTGGGCAGACGGGTAAGCGCTGTGGGTTTTAATTACAGCCCCCCCCCAAAACATCTTACCCTGCTGCCACACGCAGCCAGGGGTGCCCCAAACTTGCCCCTTCTCCCCTGGGGGGGGGGCACGGAGCCTTTCGCCCCTTCCTCACCCCCCCTTCTTGCAGGGTCGCGCTGGAGCAGACGGTGCCAGGGGACTCCCGGGGGACACCGGACCCAAGGTGCTTGGGGTGCCAGGACGCCCACGGCCCCCTTTTTTTTTGGGGGAGGGGGCCGTGGGCTCATCTTGTGCCCCGTAGGGTGACCGGGGCTTCGATGGTTTGCCGGGGCTACCAGGGGGAGAAAGGCCACAGGGTAAGTGCCACCGCGCCGCGTCCCCTCCTGCCACCACCCGTCCCCGTGTCCCCTCACCTCCTCTCCGTCCCCTAGGGTGACGTGGGGAAGCCAGGACCTGCGGGCACCCCCGGGGAGAAAGGAGCCAGGGTGAGGAGCCTGGGGGGGGGGGGTCCGGGGAAGGATCAGGCCCTGGTGGCGTGGGGGGGACACGCTCAGCTCCTCTCTGTCCCTTCCAGGGCTCTGATGGCTTGCCGGGACCGCGGGGACAACCGGGGGAACCCGTGAGTATCCATGGGGGGGGGGGCCGGCCTCGGTTGTCCCCCAGCCCCAAGAGCTGGGGGGGGCACGAAGAACCAGGACAGCCACATTTGGGGGGCTTCAGCCCACGGGAATCCCCCCCCCCCGCAGTTTTTTGGAGGGGAGATTCGGGCTCTGGCCCCCCCCTGCTAACACCTCCGTCCTTGGCCCTAGGGCGTGCGGGGGCTCATCGGTTCCCGGGGTTCCCCCGGCCCCCCGGGACCACCGGTAAGGGGCAGTGTCCGTCTGTCCGTCCGTGTCCGTCCGTCCGGGCTTTTTCTTGGGGTGCAGCGCCCTGAGGCTCCCTCCTTCTCCCCGCAGGGTGCCAGCGGCATCGACGGCGCGCCGGGACCCAAGGGCAACGTGGTGGGTGCCCCGCTGGGAGCCCCCACCCCAAATTAACCCCAAAGGAGGCACGGGAGGGTGCCTGCGGGGTTTTTTTTGGGGTTGTGCTGATGGATTTTCCTCTGCCCCCCCCACCCAGGGAATCCAAGGGGAGCCGGGCCCCCCGGGACAGCAAGGAAACCCCGGTCCGCAGGTAAGGGATGGGGGGGCCAAGGGGGTGTCCCCTATGGGGCTTGGGGTCCCTTCTCAGCACCCCACTGTTCTCTCGTAGGGTCTGCCCGGCCCCCAGGGCCCCGTTGGGCTGCCGGGGGACAAGGTGAGTCTGGAGCTGGCACGGACGAGGGGGTGGTGTCACCGTGTCCCCCCCCCTCACGTCCTCCTCTCGCCCAGGGCCCACCGGGGAAAGCCGGGAATCCAGGGGGTGGCTGGGGCCGACGGACCCCCGGTGAGTACCGGCGAGGGGATTTGGGGTCGGGCTGGTCCCCGGCACTACTGGGGACAACGGGGACGCTGTCACCTCCCCGGCTTGGGGCTCATTTTTGGGGTGTCCCACTGTAGGGTCACCCTGGCCGAGAAGGGCCGGCCGGAGAGAAGGGCCTCCAGGTAAGGGGACGGACCCCAACCCCATATCCCAGGCACGGTTGTGGGGTCTCCCCTGTGTTTTTTTTTGCTGATGTTCAGCCTGTCCCCAGGGTCCCGTGGGTGCCCCGGGTCCCGTCGGCTATCCGGGACCCCGTGGGGTGAAGGTAAGCACAGCTCCCCCCCCCCCCAACTGCACTGCGTGGCCCCACTGAGGCACGAGGTGGGGGCTCGGGGGGGGTGTCCCCCGGATTTGGGGTCCTCCCTCGGCCCCCTTTTTGTCTCTGCAGGGAGCTTTTGGGGTGCGGGGCCTGAAGGGCAGCAAAGGGGAGAAGGTAAGGGGTGGGGTGGCGAGGGGCCAGCATGGGGGGGGGTCTTGGTACCGCAGTAGCCCCCTTAAAACGTGCCGCCCCCCCCCTCAGGGTGAAGATGGATTCCCTGGCTTCAAGGGCGACATGGGTCCCAAGGGCGACAGGGTAAGCGGGGTGCTGGGGTTAGGGGGGGGGTCTCCTCCCCACGGGGCTGCAGGATTTGGGATCGTACGGAGTGGGATGGAGCTGGAGGGGGAGATATTTATTTTGGGGAGGGGGGGGGGCAGCTGGGGGCCAGCTGGCAGCGTGCTCCCTGCACCTTTGCCTTGCTTTTAGGGTGACCAAGGCTCGTTGGGACCCCGTGGCGAGGACGGCCCCGAGGGGCTAAAGGGGCAAACGGGTCCCATGGGGGAACCGGGTGCTGCTGGCCCCGCGGGGGAGAAGGTGAGCACCGTCCCCGTGCCCCCCATGTCCCCATGTCCCCATCCCCGTGTCCCCATCCCCATGTCCCCACGCCCCCCCGTAGCCCACACCTCAACCCTTCTCTCTCCTTTATAGGGCAAACTGGGGGTGCCGGGTCTCCCGGGCTACCCGGGCGCCAGGGCCCTAAGGTGAGCAAAGGGGGGTGGCATTTGGGGTGTCCCTAAAGTGTCCCCAAAGTGTCCCCGGGTTGTGACCCCCGCTCTCTGTCCTCAGGGATCCGCTGGCTTCCCGGGTCCCGTGGGGCTGGCGGGAGAGAAAGGGAAGAGGGTGAGTGCCCTACAACACGCCACCCCACCCCATTGGGATGTTCCCCGTCCCCAGAAGGATTTTGGGGTGGGGGGGACACCCCCCGTGTGCTGCTGTCCCCCCCCCCCACCTCGTCTCTCCCCGCAGGGCAAGGCTGGCCAGGCTGGGCAGACGGGACAGCGAGGGACCCCGGTGAGCGGCCGCGGCCCCCACCCCAAGTTGGGGGTGATGGGGGGCACCCCGGGGTGCTGTGGTGGGGGGCACCCCTGGGTGCCGTCGGGAAGGCTGGTGGGGCTGGTTGTACCCCACAGGGACCATTATGGGGTCATTTTTATCCCACAGGGACCATTGTGGGGTCGGTTATACCCCATAGTGACCACCATGGGGCTGGTTTTACCCCACAGAGACCATTATGGGGTCGGTTTTATCCCACAGGGACCATTATGGGGCCAGTTATACCCCACAGTGACCATTATGGGGTCGGTTGTACCCTACAGGACCATTGTGGAGTCGGTTTTATCCCACGGGGACCATTATGGGGTTGGTTATACCCCATAGTGACCATCATGGGGCTGGTTTTACCCCACAGAGACCATCGTGGGGTCGTTTTTATCCCACAGTGACCATTATGGGGTCGGTTATATCCCATAGTGACCATCATGGGGTAGGTTTTATCCCACAATGACCATCATGGGGTCGGTTATACCCCACAGTGACCATTATGGGGTCAGTTTTATCCCACAGGGACCATTATGGGGTTGGTTTTATCCCACGGGGACCATTATGGGGTCGGTTATACCCCACAGTGACCACCATGGGGCTGGTTTTACCCCACAGAGACCATTATGGGGTCAGTTTTATCCCACAGGGACCATTATGGGGTTGGTTTTATCCCACGGGGACCATTATGGGGTCAGTTTTATCCCACAGTGACCACCATGGGGCCGGTTGTACCCCACAACCACCACCCCAGGACCGATTTTATCCTACAGCAGCCATCCCCAAGGCCAACTCAACCCCATCCCAAAACCATTTATGGCCCACGGCACCCACCCTGGGGCCATCCTTGGCTCCTACCCAAACCCCATACCCTGCATCCCACCCTGCATCCCATAGCAATTAGGATCGGGAGGGGGGGGGGAGCCGTGTGCCACCCCCCTCTTGTCCCCCTGTCCCCCCCCCAACCCCACAACTCCTCACCCTTCTCTTTGCCCCCCCCACAGGGCCTGCCGGGGGAGCGAGGGCTGCCCGGCCCCACAGGGAAACCTGGCCCAAAGGTTTGTAGGAACTTGGTTTTGGGGTCCTCCTTGTCCCTCCTGTCCCCCCCCCTTGCTGCTACCCTTTTTTTGTCCCCCCAGGGAGATCCTGGCCACGACGGGGCCCCCGGCGTTGTGGGGGAGAAGGTAAAGACACCACACGGGGTGCGCCCCTAAAAAGCCACCCCAAAAAGGAACGGGGCCGAACGTGGGGGTATCGGGGTGCCAGGCTTGAGGGGGGGGCACCAGAGCTTTTGGGGGAAGCTCCGGCGCCACCAGCCAAAATTTTTCCTTCTTCCCACAGGGCCCTCAAGGTCCGCAGGGTCCCCACGGCTTCCCGGGCACCAAAGGGCCCCCTGTAAGTTTTTTTTGGGGGGGGGGCAGCGGGGTTTTTGGCGTGTCCCCCTGCCCTCCCCTCCATAACCCCCTGCTCTTGCCTAGGGCCCCCCCGGGAAGGACGGCTTGCCAGGGACACCCGGGACAGCGTGGCGAGCCGGTGAGACCCCCCCCCCTTGGACCCCCAAGACCCCTGCCCCCCCCCCAGGAGAAACCCAATTTTAACCAAATTTTTTTTTTTTTTTCCTTTCTCCCCCGCAGGGATTTCACGGCAAAACCGGCCCCCCCGGCCCCACGGGGGTGGTGGGACCCCAGGTGAGGGGGCAAATTGGCAGAGCTCGGTGTGGAAATGAGCTTGGATGGATGGAGAGACCCCCCCCCCCAAAAAAAAAAAAAATCCTCACCCTGCTTTCTACCCGCAGGGAAAATTGGGCGAAACGGGGCCGGTGGGCGAGAGGGGGCACCCAGGCCCCCCCGGCCCCCCCGGGGAGCAGGGTCTGCCCGGAGCTGCTGGCCGAGAAGGAGCCAAGGTAGGAGCGGGGCTGCTGGGGGGGGGGGGGGCGCACGCCCACCCCCTTTTTGAGCTCTGGGGGGGCTCTGTGGGGTCAGAGCGAAGCTCTCTGCTCCTCCTGCCCCCCCCCGCAGGGAGACCCCGGCCCGGCTGGTGCTGCAGGGAAGAGCGGCCCCCCCGGCGTCCACGGCTTTCCCGGCGGGCGGGGGGCACCCGGAGAGACGGTCAGTGCTGCGCCGGGGGGGGGGGGAAAACCCAAAAAAGCCCCCCCGGGAGAGGGGGGAGCGGGCTCCTTCCTAACCCCCCCCTCTGCCCTCCTGTAGGGTCCTCCAGGCCTGAAGGGTGGCGAAGGGCCCCCCGGCCCCCCCGGCCCCACGGTGAGCACAAAACTTTTGGGGTTTCGGGGAGAGGATTTGGGGAGGAGGAGGAGGAGGGTGACTGGGGGGGGGGGGAGGAAGGCTGCTGAGCTTTCTCCCCCCCCCCCCCGCCTCTCCTTTCTCCCCAGGGCTCCCCCGGCGAGCGAGGCCCCACGGGGGCCGCGGGAGGCATCGGTTTGCCCGGCCGGGGGGGTGCACAGGGCCCCCCCGGCCCCTTGGGCGAGAAGGGGTCCCCGGTAGGTGCTGAAGGGCGCAGGGGGGGGGCGAGGCAGGGGGGATTGGGGCAGCTCTGGGATGAGCTGGGGGGGCCTGGTGGCTTCTTCCTCATCCCTTCCTCTTCCTCCCCCCCCCTCAGGGCGAGCGGGGTCCCATGGGGCCGGCCGGGCACGACGGGATCCAGGGCCCCCTGGGGCTACCGGGCCCCCCCGGCCCCCCCGGCCCCGCTGGAGAGGATGGGGACAAGGTGAGTCGTCGAGGGAGGGGGGGTGCAGCTCAGCCCCTCCAGCAGCATTTTTTTTAATTTAATTTTTATTTTTTTCCACGTTTTGCTGTTGATATCACCTGGGGGGGGGGGGGGTTTGGGGATGCGTCCAGGGTCTTGGGACCCCCCCGATGGGTTTGGGGCTTCCCCGGGAGTGGGGGATTTTTCATGGCCCTGCTTCCCCAGCCGTGGCGGCTTTCCCTGGCCTCCAGGGCTTGTGTGGGTGACATGGGGGGGGGACAGTGGGGGGGGGGGGGACAGTGGGGGGGGGACACACACAGGAATTTGTCACCGTGTCCCTCTCTGGCCAGGGCGAGATGGGGCTTCCCGGACAGAAGGGCAGCAAAGGAGACAAGGGCGAGGCGGTGAGTGCCGGGGGGCTGCTCTGCCCCCCAAAGTGGGGAGGAACGAGGGGAGAAGGGTTTTGGGGGTTTTGGGGCCCCCCCGAACCCCACGGGGGTGCTGCTGTCCCCACAGGGCCCCCCGGGACCCCCAGGAATCCAGGGACCCATCGGGCACCCCGGCCCTGCGGTGAGTTTTTTTTTGGGGTCCCTTCCCACCCCGTTTCTTCCCCCGATCCTACAACCGAGCGCTTGCCCCATCTCAGCTCCATCCCCTGCCCCCCCCCGGACCCCCCCCCCGCAATGGGGTCTGCGGGGGTCTGACCCCGACCCCTTTCTTGGCAGGGAGCGGATGGGGAGCCGGGGCGCCGCGGGCAGCAGGGGATGTTTGGGCAGAAAGGAGACGAGGGAGCGCGGGGGCACCCCGGTTTGAGCGGCCCCCCCGGATTGCAAGTAAGGAGACCCCCAGCTGGGGGGGGGGGGGGGGGGCTGCTAGGCCATTGGGGTCACCACGGTTTGGGAACAAGGGACACGAGAGACCCCAGACTAACCCCCGATCCCACAGGGCATGCCGGGCCCCCCGGGTGAAAAGGGCGAAAACGGCGACGTTGGCCCCATGGTGAGGACCCCCCCCCGCGGCTTCGGACCCCCCCCGAGTCGTTCACCCCCATCTCCAGCTCCCCACGCAGCCCCCGTGGCTTTTTGGGGTCTGACCCCGCTCTGTGCCCCCCCCCCCCCACCAGGGACCCCCAGGAGCGCCAGGACCCCGTGGGCCGCAGGGACCCAGCGGTGCCGAGGTGAGTGCAGCCGGGGGGGGGGGGGGGGGCTCGGCTGGAATTTGGGCTGCTGATGGGTACCCCCCCCCCAAATCCTCTTGCTTTTAGGGTCCCCAGGGAATGCCAGGCGGTGTGGGACAGCCGGGGGCCGTGGGAGAAAAGGTAAGGATGTGGCTGGGGGGCGGGGCAGGGGGGGGCGATGGGGGTCTCGAGGTCTGGGGGGAGCCAGGGGGTTTTGGGGGGGGGGCACATGCACCTCCCGGCGCCCAGTGGCCCCCCCAGTGGCCTCATTTTTCTCTTGGGTAGGGTGAGCCCGGTGAAGCCGGGGACCCCGGAGCCCCTGGAGAGCCTGGCCCCCCCGTGAGTATTGCACCCCAAAGGGGGTGTCCCTTTTTGGGGGGGGGGGGGCAGAACCCGGCGAAATGTTTTCTTGCCCAAAACGCCCCGAACCCCCCCAATATGATCGCTCCCCCTCCCTCTGCAGGGTGTGAAAGGAGACGTGGGGGAGAAGGGAGACGCGGGGCCATCGGGGGCAGCCGGCCCCCCCGGCAAAAAAGGCCCCCCCGGAGAGGATGGAGCCAAAGGCAACCTGGTAAAGGGAGGAGCGAGACACCCCCAGCCCCCCCCCCCACCCCACAAGCACCGAGCCCGTGCCCCTTCCTGCTGGCCCAAGCTCTGGGGCTCCCTCACAGCCGCCCCCCCATTTGCCCCCCCCCTCTTTTTCCAGGGTCCCATTGGCTTCCCAGGGGATCCCGGCCCCCCCGGAGACCCCGGCCCACCGGTGAGTTTGCCCCCCCCCCCCACCGTGCCCCAGTGTCACCCCCTGTCCCCACCCCGGGCTTGGGGATGGGGGGGACACCGCGGTTCTCTCCCCCTCGAGGCACCCCAAAACCTCGGGGAGGGGGCTCGGGGGGGGGCAACAGCACAAATGCTCCCCCCACCCCGTGTCGCAGGGTCTGGACGGGGCTGTTGGAGAGAAGGGTGACGGTGGGGACCCCGGCCTGCCGGTGAGTGGGACAGCGGGGGGGGGGCTTAAACCCCCCCTCCCCGGGGGTCTTGCACATCCGTGTCCCCCCCAGTCCCCACTTTGGGGCCATTTTCACCCCAAAGTCCCCCCCCCCCCGGCTTTGTTTTAGGGTCCGCCGGGCGCATCAGGGGAACCGGGACCCCCAGGCCCCCCCGGGCGGAGGGTGAGTAGGGGAAGAGCAGAATGGGGGGGGGGCACAGTGGGGCTGCAAATGGGGCCAGCCACAGCTCCTGGTGCCCCCCCCCCATTTTTCAGGGACCCGTGGGACCTGTGGGGCGCGAGGGCCGTCAGGGCGAGAAGGGTGCCAAGGTAGGTGGCCCCCCCTGACCCCCCCAAAATTCACTGCCCTATAGAAGGGGAGGCTCGAGCCCCCCCCCAGCCCAGGGCAGGACGCGGTGTGGGGTCAGCCTCAGGTCCCCGTGTCCCCCCCCCCACCCCGTGTCCCCAGGGGCAGCCCGGCACCGAGGGGCCACCCGGGAAGACGGGACCCGTGGGGGTGCAGGGACCCCCAGGGAGACCGGGATCCGAAGGGCTGCGGGGGATCCCCGGCCCCGCGGTGAGTGTTGGGGGTGGGGACAGTGGGGAGGGGGACAGTGGGATGGGGACATTGGGATGGGGACAGTGGGGACAGGGACAGTGGGGAATGGACAATGGGGATGAGATATGGGGATGGGGACATTGGGATGGGGACAGTGGGGATGGGGACAGTGGGGACAGGGGCATTGGGGTAGGGGACATTGGGATGGGGACAGTGGGGACAGTGGGGGTGAGCTACAGGGATGGGGACAGCAGGGACAGGGCAATCAGGGATGGGATATGGGGATGGGATATGGGGACAGTGGGAAGGGGACAGTGGGGACTGGGGAATCGGGGATGGGATATGGGGATGGGGACAGTGGGGATGGGGACATTGGGATGGGGACAATGGGGACATTGGGGATGAGCTACAGGGATGGGGACAGGGGCATTGGGATGGGGACAGTGGGTATGGGGACAGTGGGGACAGGGGAATCGGGGATGGGATATGGGGATGGGGACAGTGGGGATGGGGACAGCAGGGCCAGGAGCATTGCGATGGGATATGGGGATGGGGACAATGGGGATAGGGACAGTTGGGGACATTGGGGATGAGCTACAGGGATGGGGACAGCAGGGATGGGGACAGCGGGGATGGGGTCAGCAGGGACAGGGGCATCAGGGGCAGTGGGGACATTCCCATGCGGCCAGAAGTGTCCCCAAAACCATGGCTTGGAGACATCCCCTCGGCCCCCACCACTGCAGCTGGAGGCGACGGCAGCTCGGAGGGGCATTTTTTGGGGTGGGGGGCTCACCCCCATGCCCCTCTCCCACCCCACATCTCTTCTAGGGCGAACAAGGCCTCCTGGGGGCACCGGGACAAGCAGGACCACCCGGCCCCCTGGTAAGGCCTCCTGGGGGCACCGGGACAAGCGGGACCACCCCGGCCCCCCCACCCCGTAGCCATCCTACGTGACCCCCCCCCCTTTGCCTCTTGTAGGGTCCCGTGGGATTGCCCGGCCTCAAAGGAGACCCCGGCCACAAGGGAGAGAAGGTGGGACGGGGTTTTTTTTTTGGGGGGGGAGGGGGCTGGGGGGCTGCTCCTTGGGGAGGTGGCTTTTGTCCCTTTTTTGTCCCTTTTTTGTCCCTTTTGTCCCCAGGGCCACGCCGGTTTGATTGGGCTCATCGGACCGCCGGGGGAAATGGGGGAGAAGGGAGACCAGGGGCTCCCCGGCATCCAGGGCCCCCCAGGACCCAAAGGAGACCCCGTAAGTGGTTGGGGTCTCCCCCCGAGCTTCAGGGGGAGCTGCGCAGCTTGGGGGGGGGGGGACGAGGCACAGGTAGGGCGCAGTCCCCTGGAGCACGGGGCTGATGCCGATTCCCCGCAGGGTTTGGCTGGCCCCATCGGCCCCACCGGCCCCCCCGGCCCCCCCGGGCTGTCGGTGAGTATTTACCTGCGCTTTTGGGGTGCTCCGAGCCTCCAAATGAGCCTCCTGCGCTTCTCCTGCCTGCCTTTAACACCCCTAAAGGACCTGGGGGCTTTGTCCCCAGGATGGGAAAGGGGCAGGGGGGGGCACGAGCCCCGCGGGGGGGTCGGGGGCAGCTGCACGCCCAGGGTTGCTCCCAGCCCCCGCCGCTCCCCTCTTTTCTCTTCCCCGCAGGGTCCCTTGGGCCAGAAGGGCTCCAAAGGCTCTCCGGTGAGTGCTGGGGAGGGACAGGGATATGGGGACAGGGTGGGGGCTCCCATCGTGTGCCCCCATGCGACCCCCCCCCCCCACAAAGTTGGGTGGCAGCGGGGGGTGAGCACCGCGTGGCCGAATCCTTTTGCAGGGCGCTCTGGGTCCCCGAGGTGACACCGGCCCCCCAGGCCCCCCAGGACCACCGGTAAGGGACGCTTTGGGCACAGGGACAACGGGGGGGCTCTGCTCCTGAGCCCCCCCTCATCCCGCTCTCCCCCCTTTTTCCGTGCCCCCCCCAGGGCCGCCCGGCTGAGCTGCTCGAGCCGCTGCCCTCGAGCCGGAGCGCGAGGCACCGACGGGCAACCCAAGGGGCTCGGGGCGAGCAGGGCCCCCCCCAGGACTACGAGGGGCTGGAGGAGGTGTACGCCTCGCTCAGCTCCCTGCGCACTGAGGTCGAGCAGCTGCGGAGACCCCTGGGCACCCCCGAGAGCCCCGCGCGCGTCTGCAAGGAGCTGCAGCTCTGCCACCCCCACCTGCAGGACGGTGAGGGCTCGGGAGGGCGAGGGGGGGGGCAAAAAAGTGGGGTGCTGGACCAGCCCCATCCGTCCGTCTGTCCTTTGCCCTCCTCCCCAGGCGAGTACTGGATCGACCCCAACCAGGGCTGCTCCCGCGACGCCTTCAGGGTTTTTTGCAACTTCACAGCCGGCGGCGAGACCTGCCTCTTCCCCGAGAAGAAATTCGAGGCCGTGAGTTCGAGAGGGGAAGATGGGGGTCCAAAAATCCTCTCCGCCAGCTGCGAAAGTGGAATGGGGCGTTTCGGGGCTCGCTTTTCCCCAAGGGGTTGGGGGTTCGAGGTTTTGCCTCTCCTCTGTCCCGTCCCCTCCCCAGGTCCGTCTCGCTGCCTGGAACAGGGAGAAGCCGGGGACGTGGTACAGCACCTTCAGGAGGGGCAAGAAGGTGGGACCCCCGGGCACGAGGCTCCTCCAGGGAGGGCGCACGGTGCGCCCGGCATCTCCCCGCTCCCTCCCCTCAACCCCGCGCCGTGTCCCCCCCCCTCTCCCCACCCCATCCCCGCAGTTCTCCTACGTGGACGCGGACGGGAACCCGGTGGCCGTGCCCCAGCTCACCTTCCTGCGCCTCCTGAGCGCCAGCGCCCACCAAAATTTCACCCTGACGTGCCAAAACGCCGCCGCCTGGTACGACGCCCGCGCCGCCTCCTTCGCCCGCGCCCTGCGCTTCCGCGGGGCCAACGACGAGGAGCTGGGCCACGACCACCCGGCTGCCCCCATCCGTGCTCTCCACGACGGCTGCCAGGTGAGGTCCCCCAGCACCCCATTTGCTGTTTTTTTGGTTTTTTGTTTTTTTTTTGGGGGGGTTCCCAGCCCCTCAACCCGCTCCCATCCCCGCAGGAACGCCGTGGGCAGGAGCGGACGGTGCTGGAGGTGTCCTCGTCCCGCGTCGAGCGGCTGCCGCTGATGGACGTGGCCGTGGCCGATTTTGGAGAGGCCAACCAGAAATTCGGCTTCGAGCTGGGCCCCGTCTGCTTCGTGGGCTGAGCACGGCCCCCGGACACGGGTGGGCGGGGGTCTCGTGCCCCCCCCCCGCCACCCCCTGCGCCAGGGACAGTGCCCCAGGCTCTGCTCTGGCATTCTCAGGACTCGGAGCCGCCGCAGCGCCGTCCCCTCCTGCCCTCGTGGGCCCCCCCTTATTTATACTGCCGGCTCCTCGAGGCGGGAGGGGGGCAAAGCTGGGGCAGGGCACCCCAGATGGTAGGGAGGGGGGGCCCGAGCCCCCTCCCCGTGGTGCTACAACGCTCCCTTAGTGAAGCACTGGATGTGCCCTCGGCACGGCGACACCGAGAGCCCCAACACATGGGGACCAGGGGGCCACCGGATCCGCGCCCCCCCTCCCGGTGCCATCACTGGGGATACGATTTTACCGTGGTCTCCTGCGTGGGGAGCCCCCTGCCCATTTTTTTTTTTTTTTTTGGGGGGGGGGGTCTCCCCGTTTCACCGTGGGGCAGAGCTGGGGAAGCTCGGTGCCGGTCCCGGTGCCGTTACTGTACGATAAAGCGACTGTATGGAAGCTGGCTGCCCCCCCAAATCCTTCCCGATTTCCACGCAAATGGGGCGGCTGGGGAGGGGCCCCCCCCACTTCGGGGGGGGGATTTACCTCGGGTATCCCTGAGGGGACGGGGTGGGGGGGTCGGGGAAGGCTTTGTGCGCCCCCGGGGCCGCGGCGCAGCGCGCACCGGGTGTCCCGGTACCGCATCCCGGTGCCCCCGCGCACCCCGAGCATCCCGGGGTGGGGGGGCAAGAGGACACCCCCCCCACACACACACGCAGCAGCCCCCCCTCCCGGTCCCGGTGCCGTTCCGCCCAGCTCCAAACGCTTCGGTTCCGCCCAGCACGGCCCCGGCCCGGTGCCTCCAGCCTCCCCTACCGGGCGCGCCGCGCCCTGCACCGGGCCGGTGCCGCGGCTGCAGCCGGTGGCGGCGGCGGCGGCGGCGGCGGGGCCCGGCCGCGGGGATGCGGCTGCGGCGCTGAAACGGGCGCGGCTCCGCTCCCCGCTCCGCTCCCGGTTCCCCGGCGGAGGCTCCGGTAACGGCGGAGTCCGCGCCTCCACCATGCGCCTCTTCCCCGGCCTCCTCCTGCTGCTCTCCGCCGGGTCCCCCGCGATGCAGGTAAGGGCGGGGAGGGGAAGGGGGGGGGAACCGGGAGCTGTCCGACCCCCCCCCATCATCAGGATGCCCGGTTTGGCACCGGGGAATCCCCCAGCGCCTGCCCCCGGGGTGTCCCGAAAGGGGTGGGGGCGCGCCACCGGGCACCCCAAGGTGCGGGGGCGCACGGGGTGGGTGCCGAGCGTCGCCCCAATGTCCCCCCACCCGCCCCGCCTCGGGGGTTTGGGGACGTGGGGACACGGGGACGGCTCCGCGTCCCCTCCCTGGGGGTGAACCCCGGGTTTGGGACCCCCGTGGGGTGGCGGCGGGGACGAGGCGGGGGCCACGTGGGGACGCGCCTTCACACGTGGCCGCCGAGCACGAGGGACACGGCAGCGGCCTGGATCCGGGTGCAAGGGGGGGGTCCCCAGGTTGTCCCCAGCTTGGGGACACCAGGGGGTGTGAACGTCCCCTGGGGATGGAGCTGGGGGTGGTGGCAGGGGGGTGACACCCATGGGTGCTCCCCAGTGAGGTTTGGGGACGGGTGGGTGGCTCGGGTCCCCTGGGTGGCCCCGGGGTGGCACAGGACCACGTGCCATCACCCCGCCGATGTCCCCATGTGCCACTCGGCCTTGTGCCATGGCAGTGCCACCATCCCCGAGGGGACAAAGACACGAGGGGGGGGGTCTTTAAATTGTCCCCGTGTCCCCCACATCCCCGCCGTGCCACCCGCACCACCCTCCGACCCACCCTGGCCCAGCTCAGCACGGCTGCTGCGGGAAGGGAGCGGGGTTTTCCTGGAAAAATGGGGGTCGGGGGTGTCCCTACCTGTCCCCCCCCCAAAAAAAAGAACCCCCAGGCCCACGGGTGGGCGGCCGGAGCCTCGTGGCGGGCCTGCAATTAGGCTTCTTCGTTATGAGCTGCTCGATATTCGGCGGCGGTTGTGCAGCCTGTTGAATATGCATGAGCCCGGCTTGCGTGGGTGGGGGGCCGCAGCCGCATCCCAAAAAGGAGGGGGGGGGTGCTTTTGTGGGATGCCGGGGCGATGCCCGGTGGAAACGGGGCTGGTTCCAGGTGGGATTTGGCGTCTCCGTCCCCATTTGTGGCCCCTGCGTGGGGATGGGGCTGGGGGGCCCCAAAGCAACCTCGGGGTCCATCCGGGGGGCAACGGGGCAGGGATGGGATGTGGGGACCCAAGGGTGGGAGGGGGCTGCGGAGGGTTCCCAGCCATGTCCCCAAAATGTGCCCCCCCAAAAAATGCCCCCCCGCCGCCCCTTTTGGGGTTGGGTTTGGGCTTAACGAGCTTTTTGTTCCCGCTCGCGCTGGATGGGGACGCTGCAGCGGGGTAATAAAGTGGGGAGGAATTTGGGGGGGCCACTATGGGGTCTCCCCATCCCCTGGCTGTGTGATGCCCCGGGAGCTGCCACCCAGAGGTGAAGCCCCCCCCCCCCAATCCTGGGTGTCTGCCAGAACCGTGGCCTTGTCCCCATACCCAGGGGACACGGGGACGTGGGGACATGGGGTCAGCCAGCCCTATAGGCGCTGCCCCATCCCCTCCATGGGGCCGGTGTTTGCAGCACAAAACCCCAACCCCCCC